AAAAAAAAAAGAGAACTTGTATCAAAAAGAAATAAAGCAGGGTGCCGTGGCTTACACCCATAATCCCAGTACTTTGAGAGGCTGAGGTGGGAGGATCACTTGAGGTTAGGTGTTCAAGACCAGCCTGGCCAACATGGTGAAACCCTGTCTCTACTAAAAATACAACAATTAGCTGGAAATAGTGGCGAGTGCCTAAAATTCCAGCTAGTTGGGAGGCTGAGGCAGGACTGAGGCAGGAGAATTGCTTAAACCCCGGAGGTGGAGATTGCAATGAGCCGAGATCGTGCCACTGCATTCCAGCCTGGGCAACAGAGCGAGACCTGGACTCCAAACAAACAAACTGAACAAGTCTCAGTAACTGACATTTCTTACTATAGTGTTTGTCTATTTGAGCTTCTGGAAAAAAAAAAAAAAACATGAAAAAGGGGCAATTTCTAAATGGAGACAAACTTTTAGGGTTTTAAAAAGCAGTTTTTAGTTGCTAATGAGTGCTTGGGAAATCACACAGCTGACCCTTAGAGTCATGATTTTCTAACTGATGGGGATCTTTTTAAGGATGTCCACCTGGGCTCTGAAACTGACAGACTTTAAGGGCTTAGGAAAGCCTCGCTTTGCTCTTAGCCATGAGACACACAGCCTCTTGGCTTAGCTGCTGCAGAAGAAAATCCTGAATTCACAAATTCTAGTTGCCCAAACCTGATCCCAAGCTGAAAGCTCTGCATTGGAAGGATCGTTTGAGCCCAAGAGGTTGAGGCTGCAGTGTGAGCTATGATCGCACTATACACTCCAGCCTGCCAGGGTGACAGAGCGAGACCCTGTCTTAAAAAAAAAAAAAAAAAAGGCTGAAACCTGATGCTGTCTGCTGTGAGCTGTTTCATTCTCAGCATGAACTCTGCCACACTAAAAAAAATGGGCAAAATTGCTCCATTCAACAGAAACTTTAACTCTAGGACCCTGGCAGGTTACAGACATCTCTCCGAGGGGACATACACGGTGCAAACATCGTGGATGCTGCTGGACAGTCTGGGTCACTTGCAGATGTCCATGACAAAGAGTTGCTGTTCGATAGGACCATTTACATTGGGCCGCTCTTCAGCTCTGCATTTCTTTCTTTCTTTTTTTGAGACGGTTTCACTCTTGTTGCCCAGGCTGAAGTGCAGTGGTGCAATCTTGGCTCACTGCAACCTCTGCCTCCTGGGTTCATGCGATTCTCCTACCTCAGCCTCCCAAGTAGCTGGGACTATAGGCATGCACCACCAAGCCCGGCTGTTTTTGTATTTTTAGTAGAGACAGGGCTTCACCATGTTGATCAGGCTGGTCTTGAACTCCTGACCTCAAGTAATCCACCCCCTTGTCCTACCAAAGTGTTGGGATTATAGGCATGAGCCACTGCGCCCGGCCTTTTTTTTTTTTTTTTTTTTTT